TTTCCCATTGAGGTATATTCCATTTTCCCGCGCTTTTCGGTTCTTCTGCTAGACGCGCTAACCACTTGTCAGAAGTTAAAGTTTCCCCGCTCTTTCCTTTGAATTAAGAACCTTAGACTCTTATCTAAGTAATTACCGTAAGGATCGCTGCAGGTCGTACTGCCATTTATTTTATCATTAGATATTCGAAGAAATATTTGGTGTCCGTTAATTAGTCTTTTATGATAACGGCCAACAGGAACAGGAGTATACCGCCATGGACTGAAAACGGCACTGGCGTTATTTGCTTTCAAAACCTTAGCATTTACTTGGTGAATTGGTCCATTGTTTGATATTCCCAACACTAGAATAGCGGCAAGAACTGCAAAGAGTACCTTGCGAAAGAGGAAAGTAAGAATGTTATTAATAAAAACGACAACAACAATAATGATTGAATTTAGTATGTTGTACGTAGGTATTATGGTAAAATATTAAAATGAAAAATACGAAAGAAGCTAGAAAATAGAAAGTGGAAAAAGAAGAAAAGAAGAGGAAGAGGAAGAAGAAAAAGAAGAAGAACAACAACAACACTGAACAACAACAATAACAAGAATGAGAAAAAAAACAACAACAAGACTCACAAGAACGAGTAGAACAAAAAGAACAAAGAAGAACAAGATCAAGATTAAGAACAAGAACAAGAAAAAAAAAACGAAACAAAGAAAGACTCGACGGGAATAATGTATATGGAGCTCAGAATTTGTTCTGGGGTCGGTATCACARGAAGATTGTAAAAAGTTATTCCTTTTGTTCAGCAGTTTGTCCTACGAACAACTTTTGCGCAGTTTCTATGCCAAGCCATCATCATAACTTTTCTTTATTTCCGGTTTGAAAACGTGTTATGCATACAACCTCCGTCCGGATCAACAAAAGTTAGACCCCAGCTAGCTCTCTCGGCTTGAAGTCATCAAATATTCGATCTGACTCTTCTTCTTCCAAGACAAGACTAAATGGCGAAGGATTCAGGGTACTTCAATACCGCGGATCGACGTTAAATAACTTTTCTTTTACTTTGTCAACGTAATTAGAAGAGGACCGGGTCCAGGCAACAGCCAATCAGGGCGCTGAATATAATCAAAATATCGGCAATAGGGAATATTATAGACTTTGAGTAAAAACCTCCTTCAAAAGATCAAGTAATCAGTTCAATACCTTAACTAAGCCCATGTTTCTTTTTAGTTGTTTTCAAATATTTGTAATCCTCCAATTGTCTTAGCTTCTCAGTTGTAATGATATTCTAAAAGTAAAAAATGTCTTGTTTTGTTTTAGTGTAAACTATAAACTCAAAAAGGATTTCTACAAATGAAATGTTAAATGAAGTTAAATGAAACATTACCTGTGAAATGACTTTCTGAACGTCGCCTGACTCTGAACACCTTGTAACCTTACTTTCATCCTTTGGTACCTCGTCTGTCTCCTTCTATATATGTTACGATAATATGAATTTGAATAATTCATAAGAATGTCTGCCTTACTGATGAGGTGAAAGCAGTTATCAAACGTCTGTCATATCACGGTGTAAACCGGCTTACGTTGTATTTTACGACTGACACCGCCTTTTCATTTTAAAACCTTTTGTTTCTTATAAACTACATTCACTTTATCGTAGTGTTCGATCGATTCCGTTTGCAATATCGGAAAAAATATTTACTGTATAAAAAAAAGTAATATATAACGTGTGTACGTATACCTGTGAAGCAAAAAATGGTCCATTAGTCAACAATGTAGTATTAGCAAGTTCTTGATGTGCATGGCTGAGTGTACATGCTGGACTGTCATAAGAAAAATGCGACCCAAGCAGACGTTAAAACTAGACGCATATCTGCGTTAACTCGGGCTTCATATCAGAAAAACGAAAGAATTCTTCGTGAACACTGTCATCCCTCTGACGAAACCTTGAAAAATTCCGCCATTGCTCGACCATGTGCTTATGTGGCGCATACTACGCACGCGCATAGAACTTGCGCATAAGCTTTGAACGCGACTGCGATTTGTGACAGAACACAAATAAGGCACAATTTATACCTCGGGCATTTCTTTGAAAGCACGAGTAAGAAGTATATTTTTAACCAGCATTGAAATTACGAATTTTATTTTTCTCTTTTGATCAAAGAGTGATTTAGTGATGGCAAAAATCTTCACATCACAAGTAAAGTGTATTTCTTAACGATAGTGTGTCTGAACCATATGATTTATTCGAGAACAAGAGGGATTAGCTCAAATGGTAGAGCGCTCGCTTAGCATGCGAGAGGTACCGGGATCGATACCCGGACTCTCCAAAATGGTTGCCTTTTTAGCTTATCAATATAATTTGAACTAGAAGATTTCTTTTTCAAGATATGTTGTTGTATAATATTTAATGCAATGTCTTTCTGTTTGAACACTGGTCTAGTAAACTACGACTGTGCGCAAAATTAACTGTACACGTTGTGAAAAAGTATGGCTGAATAAAAAATATATTTACAAATCAAAATTGATGAATGTTCCTATTTTCATTTTACTCCAAGCAAAGCCAGTGAGAAACCATAAAGAAAATACGGAGGAAAATAGGTTTCATATATGGGCAGTTATGTGGAGTTCTATCGGCCAATAAAAACGACTGAACAAATGTGAATGATAATAGTTTGTCTGCTCTACAGTCCTGCTTGCTTTCCTCGCAATTAAAGATCGCATCATTAGCAGAGTGGCGCAGTGGAAGCGTGCTGGGCCCATAACCCAGAGGTCCAAGGATCGAAACCTTGCTCTGCTATTTGTGCATGGAGTTAATTTTTTTTATATGAGACTTCCTTACTTCCTTTCTTCAAACCTAAATTTCCCCTATTTTTACTCATGTTGATCCGGGATGCTTACTATTTAAACCATTAGAAAAAAGCTGAAAACTTTGACTTTACCGACAAACGCTACACGCGTCAACCGAAAAACCGAAAAGAGCGGGAAAAGTAGATTCCCCCAATCGGAAGAGACCGAGTTTTGCGGAACTTTCCGATCAGAATAACACATGCCATCAGTTTTCTGACTTTCAGTGAATAAGTCGGTTATCCGAGAAATTTATCTGCTGCATAAATTTTTTCCAATAGCACTATCATAGACCATAGATTAATCATATTCCAATATGGTCTAGTGGTTAGGATCCGGAGCTCTCCCCGCCGTGGCACGGGTTCGATCCCCGGTGTGGGAAATGCTTTTTTGGTACAATGTTATCGCTAAACAATACAAACAAATAATCTATTGGTCCTTGCTGTTCAAAGTTGTGTTTAATATGTGGTTGAAGGTCTTACCTTGTAACAACCAATCTGATGTCTTTTTCCCCTACAGATGTTTGCATCTCTATTCTTCGATTGCACGTTACGTCATCGCGGCCATGTTGGTGCCATTTAACAAAAGATTTCTTATTAGCATCCATTGTTAACGGCACCACAATGGCCGCCATGCTTTTGTCTTTTGACTCTCTTGGGAATGCTTGCAACCCATCAAAATTAGAGCATCGTCTTGGTATCGAGTGATATTTTTAAAATTGAATAAAGTAATGATAGCGCAACTAGTATGTTTAATTTACAAGAATAAGGGGGATTAGCTCAAATAGTAGAGGTACCAGGTACCCGGTTTCTCCAAGTTCAGTAAACTTTTGCATTACGGACATTCTCAATCACACGCGCGGCTCTAGGAAGTGTTCTGTCGCGACAAAGAAGCTTTTGGTGGACGTCATTCAAGGCGTTTCCATAACATTCTATGGGCACGTGCCCTTATAGCTTTGTGTTTTCCGACAATGTTATGGAAACACCTTGTCTTTTTATGTCCAACTTGACCCATATGGACTCTCTAGCTCATGATGTCCATCCGTCCAATCTTAACTACTACTTTCAATCTATCTTTATTCTTACGAAGTTAATACTTTGAAACACCGACGAAGGACTAGCGTCCGAAACGTCAGTAAGTTTTTTTATCTTTTCACGGTATAAAATTTACCCTTTTATCATTACTTTGAAACACCTATCATGATCAGCTTAACCATGATACAGTAGCACATCTTTGCTTATTATTGTACAATTSAGTGCCTTTGTAGCTCAGTGGTTAGAGCACTGGTCTAGTAAACCAGGGGTCGAGAGTTCGAGTCTCTCCAAATGCTGTGTAAATTTTTTTTTCAGTACAAAGCCATCCCTTAACATTTTTGTACGTAACTGCCCAGTTGCATTTCACCATATCAAGAGGAAATATTTCAATCCAAGCATTAGCTACTTAACCATAACATTCTAACTTTTCATTATTATTTTGTCCATCTTTTCTTTTCGTTTTGTAGATATTTATTTCACGTCATTTTGCAATAGTCCACTTCACAGTCTCTGCGCCATATTGAAAGGTAACGCTTACCTGTGCATCAAAGCGAGACACGGCGGTGACCTTGCAGATATACAGACATGTGAATACACGTACCCCTTGCATGTGACGTGAAAACAGCACAATTTGGAGGACAAAAGAAAAGAATCTCAATGACATGACAATTGGAAACCTACTGTTATGTCCCCCAATCATCTGACCTGCTTTCCGACGTGTTCAGTCCAAGGGGTTTATATTTATTGTATTTAAACTTGCACCGGTCCTTCCTGATATATATCATTACGTGAGGGATATCTCAATCAATCTAATGTCTTTTTTCTAATTTCACCTTCTCATTTTTTTTACCTAAAGATGTTTCCATCTCTATTTGACCATCCTTTTAAGTTATTTTCTAAAACATTTATACGACGATCCAGTCCTTTAAAGTGCCTATCACCCTTCTGACAATATTCTCAGTATTGATTCTACATGGGGTAAGATGT